ATCTCACCGCAGTGGGAATAGGAAATGAATACACAGAGGTTTTTTGCTATAAATATCAACAGTTTCATTGTGAATGCTATAAATCGTAATACTTCAGAGGGCTGTAAATTATGGTTCCCTCTCTGTCTTGCCTTGTATAAACAGCTCTTGGCTGTAGTTTGAAAGCTTTTGGGAAAGAGCTGTGCGGTGGTAAGAAAATGTTACGCAGGGAATATGAGTGTGATGGGGGCTTCTGCAAATGTGATCCAGAGCCCGAGAAAATCAATGAGAAATCTCCGAGTGACTCATTGCAGAGTCAGGCATTACAGGGGGATGATTTTATGTACCTGTTGCTAAATACGTGCGTGCTTCACCCGGCTAAGCCAAGATAACCCTGCAGCAGAAGGGATTGAGATGACAGAGGGCTGGTTGCTGGAAACTGGGAGTTAAAGGGAACCAAGCTCGAAGATGTCCCCAGGCCTCATTTCTCTCTTCGATGTCACCTTTTTTTCTGTTCATAAAATCTTAATGAGCAGCGTGTCAGAACCTCATGCTTCCTCCTTATTCACAATTATTTGCAAACTTCCCTGTGAATTGCACCCCAGCTCTATAAAAAGCTCAGGAAGGTGGCTGGAAACAGCGGCTGGCTGAACTTTGAAATTCACCCTCTACTCGTTAGTTATGCAAATCCTCAGATACTGCCTCAGGTCTGGCTTTTAGGTCACTAATCAAGCTTGGGCTGCAGTGCTAAATATTGCAAGTGAAAGTGCAATTGGGGCATCCCTTGGGGAGGTGAATGTGCGCTGGGCTTTGTGTGGTATCAGTGCCCGTGGTGCCCGGACAGGTTTTGGGGTGGTGGAGGGCAAACAGTGACGCTCCGAGCGCGGTCGAGTGGTGATTTGCTGGGTGTGCAGTTTTCCGTCGCAGTTTTCACTATTTCCAGATCAGTTTTCCAGCTCTATTTATTGCCCTAGTGAGGTCCATGAAAGCCGCAGGAAAGAGTGAAAACCCCAATAATGAGACAGAAACATTTCCCCTGGACAGGCAAGGTTCAGGCTGTGCACAATGTGTTTTGGAGTGATGATGCTGGCTGGAGGATGGTGCATTTCCCTAGTCAGTCCCTGCGTGGGGGACCCCTCTTCAGGACATGGTTGGTCCCCATGGGACACTTTGCTCCCCCAGGTCACTCAGTGTGTGTGTGCATCGGGCCCCATCGGTCTTTTCCCTTGAATTATTAACCCACAACCTGCTCCTGGCCCCAGCTGGGATTTGTTGACTGCTTAGCCTGCTGGCCAAGGTACAGGCCTTTCAAACTTTCCTAGAATCGACTTTCCTTGAACAAAAAGGGCTTCCCTGGAGCACTGGTGGTACCTACGTGATGGGCTTGGCTGGCTAATACCCTGGGATTAGCAGAGGGACACTTTAAACCTCTGGCCAATGGCAGATGTTTCCTACAGGGGACCCTTCAAGGACACCGACTCCACCGCTGTTAGCTTTGTGATCGCCCGGATAAGGGGCTGGATCCTTCCCCTATGCTGCCCCACGGTAAGGATGGGCTGAGCCCTGTGGGCTGCGAAGGGGGAGAGGAGTCACGGCGCCCAGCTGGCACCACCACCGCCTTGCTGTCCTCCTCCTCCTCCTGCCACAGCCGGGCCAAATCCAGCTGGGGTGCAGACCTGGATGAGGTGGCTCTGGGCTCAGTGCCGTGGGGCTGCCATGGAGGCGATGCTCTAAAACAGGCTGTTTCCAGCCCGCATGTGCTCACCAGCCCACATGTCGCCCTGGCACTCTTTGCCCTCCCGCGCTGGGGCGGTCTTTGACCCAGCACTGGAACCTGGCTGGCGGCGCTTGGCTCGGCGCTCATAAAACCATGGGAGCAACCAAAGGAATCTGCCAGTTGCCAAAATAAAGGGTTGAATCACTGCAGGGTTGGGAAATGCTTGCCCCAACGCCCAGCCTCGGGTTGGGGTTGAAGCATCTCCTGTCACGTTGCTCCGTATCTGGACACGGGGTTGTGATGGGGAACCACAGGCTGGCTGCAACTGCTGGCAGCCTGCTCCTCACCCCCCTGGGGTTTTCACCTCCTGGGAGGACATGGGGTTTGCAGAAGGAGTGTCTTCACCCACATGTCTGGGTGGGGGTGCAGATCTGGCCCCATCCCACTGTGCCAGCAGTGTGGAGCCCAGCTTGGGCCAGCCTGTGCTCCAGTGCACTGGTCTGTGCTCTCCCAATCCAGCTCTTTGCCCGGGTGTTTCTGCCTCTTCCCAGCAGCCAGGCTGCCCTGCGCAGCTGTGCCACACACCAAGCCCTGGTCTCTGCCTCCTGGCTCTGCCAGTCCCATAACCTCCAGGCTAACAACCCTCAGCCACACAACTCACTTACAGCAAAGCTTTTTTTGGAAGCACAGAGCCCGATGCTCAGCGTGCAGGAGACTAGAGAGCCATCAGGATGAGCGGCGTGGTTTCATAAGTGAAACCTTTCCAGTGTACAACGTACCAAGCTGGATCATTTTGGGTTGCTAGTGAGTGCCCACAGGGGCATTGCTGTTTGCTCTGACGGCTCTGGCACCAAGAAGAAATCCCCAGGTTGGGCCAATGGCAGGCGAACAGCCATGCAAGGAGCTGCCCTGGGGGCAGGAGGGTCGATGGGCTCCTTGGAGGGGCTCCCAGCAGCCTCAGGAACAGACGAGTGCTGCCTTCAGCCCTGGTGGCTGAAATGCCCATTTCCCCAACCCTGAGCAGAGCTGGGGAAGCCTTGGCAGGGTCCATTGGGTGAGGATTCATCCAGCATTCCCTCCCTCTGCAATACAGAGACATTAAATAAGTACTAGTGGAGGGGTTGGTTCCTCTCACCTGGTTTCTGACACCCAGCAGTTGTCTAAATCCAACGCCCTTTGGCAGAGAAATGATCTCAGCCAGGGATCTCGGAAGAGTTGCCCTCTGGAGGGTTTTGTTTCTTGATGGTGGTGATGAAGTGAGCCACATGGCTCTGGACCTTCACCCCATGGCTCCGGCCCTTCGCCCCATGTCGATTGTCCCATCCATCACCCCCCTGCTTCCTGCAGCAGAGGAAAAATAGCTGATGATATTGAAGCATGCATGGGAAGGGGAAGGCTTGTGAAAACGCTGCCCTGCTGGTTCCCAGCACTCGGGGAGGGTGAGGGGGTTGGGTTTATCCCCCCTCCTAGACCACAGAGGAGCATGAGTGCTTTCAGGCAGCTGCTGGAGCTGGAGGAGAGCAAGCAAGTGTGGGGCAGGACAGGGGAGAAGAATGGGGTTGGGAGGCTCAGCCCCTGCCGTTGTTGGTGCAGACTTTGGGGTTGCCATTTCCAGTGGGTTTAGGGACAGTGAAAAGAGCTGGACTGTCTACCCCGAGCATCAGCATCACCGCTGCGTTGATGCTGCTCGGCAGAGGGAGCATCGACCCCTCCGCACAAAATCAGCTGGAGCACATCTGGCTGCCAGATGAGGGTGGCTCCAGCCAGCCTGGAGGCTGCTGAGCTTTAGGAGCCGACCTCAGTCCTCTCCTGGGCCTGGGGTCTCTGTCATGGGGCATTGCTCTCTGGCTGTCCTGTCTTTGGCAGGGGGTGTGGGGGATTTCCACCCACGGAGCTGCAGAAGGACTGGGGGTTAAGCTGTCCAGGAAGCCTCACCAGCGAGCAGAGCCCATGGCTCTGACCCTGGGAGTCCACTCTGGTTTGAAGCTGCTTCTGTGCCTCAGTTTCTCCATTCAAAGCATTGCTTAAGCTATGCTGGGGGTGGTGGGAGGTTTTCCTTGATGCTTTCCCTGGGGAGGAATGGCAAATCCTGATAGAGCACTGATTCTTCTGGGATGGGAAGATTTTATCCTCTTTGGAAGTAGATGCTGCTCGTTCAGAATAAAGCAGCTTCATCACTGAGAGGAAAGCACCCACCTGGGGGACACAGCGTTGCACCCCATCTTGTTACACTTTAACTCCAGTGCGGACAAGTTCTTTTCCTGGTGCCTACTGGTGACGGGACTTTCACACCTGATGTTTTGCAGAATTAAAATATTGTAGTGCCATCAGATAGCATGGAACCAGGCACCCAGTACAGACAGACGGGCAGATGAGGCTGTACAAACGGAGCCAGTGCATAGCCAGAGCATCACCAGGAAGGTCAGACCATGCAGGGCAGCTCTGGGAGCACATTGCCCAGACTTTTCACGCCAGCCATGTGAGGAGCCGCCGTGCAGTGGGGCGTGCAGAGCTGAAGAGCAGCTGTGGGGCCAGCCAGCCTGGCAGCAACACCTCCATCCCCTGCACCAGCACCTCCCGTGGGAAGCACCATGCCACACACCCATGTCCCCAGGCCTCGGGGACCTCTGTGGTGGGGCATGACAGCCTGCACCGCCGTGGGCTCTCATCTCGGTGGCTCTGGCGAGCAGGTCGGGGCTACCATACCTCGGCTGTGCTGATCAGAGCCCTGATGGCTGCCCAGCAGCTTCCCATTGAGCCAGGGTTTGCAGTTGCTGCAATTTTGAGCTGCTTTGACCTGTGAAATGGAGACCTTTAGAAAAGCACGCAGGTTTATGCTCCTCGCTGCTGGCAGCCGTGCTGCTCCTGCTGCAGCCAGGAGGTCTGTGCCCTGTGTATGGGGATCCTCTGTTTGGAGCTGGCCTGATCCTTCCTTAGCTGGGTTGCATGCATTGCTCTGTGGGACTGTAAAGTTCCAAATAACACATGCCAGCTCTTGCTCCTTTGCTATTTTCCACCTCCTCCCAGGGTGCCACTGCCACCGCGCAGCCTCTTTCCCCCTGGTTTGAACCAGCCCCTTCCCAGTTGTTCTTAGAACTGCTCAACACCAGCCTCAAAATACCCCATATTGCCTATCTGTTAGGGTGTTTTTGGGCAGTTTATTATTGAAAGCCATCCTTTGGGCAGGCCAGGGCTGGGAAGGTTGAATTACCACCCCCTTGTCTGCCTCTGCCGTGCCTGTGAGGGTGCAGAGCCCGGGATGGTGGGCACAGGGATTTGATTTGATTTTCCCTTCCCCTGCCAGGTTCCTCTCCCGGTCCAGGGCGGGAGCTCCAGCATCCCTGTCCCTGGGGCAGGGCTGCTGTAGGGAGAGGATCCGGGCTGGGGTTTGGGACCCTGTCCCCCCTGTGTGTGTGTGAGTGCGTGTGCATGCACACTCAGGAGCGTGTCCCTTGGGGTTTGCACAGCACATTAAAGCTATTCTCTTATCTAATCATGGCTCAGGTGAGTGCTATTAGGGTTATACATTAACAGTAGTAACGATACCTTCTCCCCATGCAGCCATTGGCCCTGCCTTGATCCCAAAGCCGAAACCATTCACACCGGCCCCACGAATGGCTCCATTTGGCTGCCTGAGCAGTTCCTTTGCCTGGTCTTTTCGGGACAAGCAGGAGGGACTTTAAATACACAGCAGGGCTGGAAGGCGCTACCAGCTGTGCTAGGAGGCATCACCAGCACCCCTTTGCACCCCGTGCACCCCATCTGGTCTCCCTCCCGGTGCAGCAGCAGCAGCTCTGGGCTGTCCTGGCCGTGGGACAGCCCAATCCACCTCCACTGGGCTTCGCTGGAAATGTGGGAGCAGCTCCATCCCTCTGCTCGGCCACGCTCCCCACTGCAGCGCCGGGGGTTCCCTGTAGGTATGAGGGCTCCCCGTCAGGAACCAGGCTGGCTCATTCTGAATTTCCTCTTCCCTTTCACAGAGCCATAAAAAGTCTCCAGGAGAGAGTTAAGTGTAACTCAGCATTCGTATTCAAGGTAGCTGAATTATTCATTGTCAATAGTATTTCTTTTGAATCCTTTTCTTTTCCTTGTGAATCACCCACAGTACATTCCCAAATTCAGCAAACATCACTGAAACCAGCAATTAGTTGAGATGAATAACTTTCCATCTCTGGCTTAGTCGTGAGCCCTCTGCTTAGTCTTTGCTACCTGATGCTGGGCAGTGAGAGACTGGTGTGCAGCTCACACTGCGACGGCTCGCCGGCATGGCTGGGTATCTGCCAGACCTGAGGCAAAGCACAGGCTTCGTCAAGGATAGACAGTGAAGAGGGAATAACAAAGAACAAGCTGTGATGGATCTATTTACAGCTGCAGCAGGAAATAATAATTCCTG